AGGCCCAGAACTGGGAGTCAGAGCTCCAACCCTTTTCCCTTGCTGATATAGAAAGAACTGCACCAGTTACTCTCCAAGATGGGAAAGTAAGCTCCTGAAGAAATAAAGGGGAGGCAAAGAAATAAACATTCCTGAAGTCATTCCAGCCTCCTTCCTTCCCCTTCCAAGACATTCCAGCTTGCTGGGTGAAAAAGCATGTCTAATGAAAAATGTAGGCTAGGAAGAGGGGAACACCAAGATCGCCTCTCTCACTTCTGTTCTGCATTGGATGCTTGAAAGCTTCTCAGTTGGGAGCTTACAGGTATTGTAATAGGATTGCATCCTAAATCATTTTGTTTATGCGATGCCCATCATATGACGACATGCACGAAGCATAGCCTTGTCTGAACAACCTTCCCTCTTGCTTCCTCCCTTGCTATTGTTGAATCTTTAAAACTAACCAGTTATTATGGAATAAACATTCGTGGACCACAGCTACTTCATTATGGATTCTAGTCCCCAAAACCCTGTGCCATAATAAATTAGTTAGGCCCTAAAGTGTCACAGGGCTCCATTGTTTTGATGACAACAGTCTGAACAACTTGACTTCCCCTGTAGAAAATACCAAACTTGTTTGCACTTTCCCCCCTTTCCTCCAACTTTTAAAGGACAGCAGCAGAGAGCAGTAGCCCAACAATCCCAGTATTCCCTTTTGGAGTGACTGGGAAATCATCCTTAGCAACCTTAGGAAGCCATGCTTAGGGTACAATTCTACAGGCCCTTAGTGCCTCATTGAGCCAGCTGTCACCCTCTGTCTTCTACACCTTTCTTACAAATATTTGGCACTGTGCTTGCCCCCTAAGGCCACTATAGATGGTTTCCTAAGAGTGTGATCCTAAATGCATTTAGATGGGACACTCCTGCAGATTGCAGCATTTTCTAGCCAGCAAGAGGAATGTTGGGAGTTGTATGCATTTTCTGTCTAAACATGCATAGAACTACACTGTAAGTCATTCATGTTGTGGAGGACTCTGAACAAATGTGGCCACGCTATCTTTCCTGAGAATACACACTTTTTGACTGCCATTATTTATCAGGGAAAGTGTCTGTCTCTAGTAAATCACCGTTACTGGGAATGGAAGTCTCACTCAAGAAGAAGGGAGGCCCCACCACAGGTGATGAGGCTGTTGGTAGTAACCTATTATAATCCAGAGTACAGACTAGCTTATTATACCAGAAGCACAATAAAAGAACTCAGAATATGTACAGAATCAGTATCTCAAGCAAACAATCTCATCTGCACATTATACATGTTGGGCTTTTTTACATGATTCATTTATTATGCACCTATCATTCTCTGTTCATAGTTGTTTATGGATGTTTTAGATGACCCTCTACTTTTGCTTCTGTGTCCAACCAGCACTTTCAGGAAACTTTTTTAGAGCAGGAAAAATTAGGCTTTTAACTGGGAATATGAAAGAAACCACTTCTTTCCTTGTTGATTTGTGCTATCCCAGTATGCCACAGTGCCATCTAAAGATTATATAATAGAAAAGCAGGAACAGAAATGTTCTTCATATTGATCTCTTTTCTGTAACAAAACCATTTAACAGCTTTGTACAGAAATATTCCAAGTCACAAAATAACATGCGCATATCTATGATCAAGAAGAAGACAAGCTTATAATTTGTATTAACCCTAATACAAATAAAAGGTTAAATACTGGGACTGTACAATAATAATAACTAGATAGGCTAGATTGACCTTTTAAACTAATTAGACAGGCTTGGTTGTCCTGCCTCATGGAGAGTGTTTTTAAAGATTTGATACAGGGACTGACCTTTACAATTTTCTGCTTGTGGGTGTTCCATAACCTGTGTTCAGTATACTTTAAAGAACAAAGAGTCTTGAGACATCATAAAGACTGGAAATCTATTATGGCATGCATTTAAAATTATGCCACAATAAATGTGTTAGCCTGTATTGTGCCATACAGTTCTTTGTTGGTTTTGCTACAACAGATTTGACATTACTTTATACAGTAGGACATTATCCTCCAGGTCAATTGTCAATGTCCATCTTTTAAAACATGGGCAATCTTTTTATTTCTTCTCTTTATCTTTCTTATCTAATTATGTAAAAGCTTCCATATAAAATAAAGATCTTTGGTTTAATGTCATTTATAACTTTCTGCCTGTTGCTTTTTCAGTGTTCTTATTCGGATTGCACTGATTCTCAGACAAAGCAACAATGTTAATCAAAAAGTAGTTCAAGTTGGATGGGGCAGAAGAAAATCTGGCTCAACCATCCCACTTCTTTCTCCCCAACTGGCGGAAGCATGCCAAGGGAGGAAGATGTAAAAAATCTTTAAAGACTTATATGTGCCTCTGAGCCTCTTGATGACATCTTCATGTTTAGATTGATATTAGCCGAGATTCTGGTTAATCACTCAACACACAGTGAAAGGCTTTGTTGAAAGGATGCTGCCAAACTATTTCACCACAATACTTTGCAAATCACAGTCATGCAAACATAGGCCGTATGGGATATATTACAGAGCTTTACAGTGGAACATCTTGTTATTTATGTTAAACTCTGTAGCTGCCAGTTGATTTTTTTTTTAATTTGGAAAAAGATACCCAGCATTTCATTCCGACTTAACAGGGTCCAAAATGAAATGGTTGAGAGTTGATTCTGTATTTTTAGTATTCTCCTGCCACCCACTCCTACCCATGGATACCATGCTAATCAGCTCAGAAGGCAATAGTGTTCAGTTTCAGCTACTCTGTTATTATCCATTATGTGGCCAGTAGGAATAGCAGGAGACTAGGAACCAAATCTCCTCTCCTCTTTTTGCAATTTTGGTAAGAATTCTAAGGCTCTGTAGCCAAGAAAGGTAATAACATTTGGCTCTATTTGCCTAAATGTAGAGGAGGGTGAGCTCTAATGTGGCAATCCTGCCATTCGAAGGGCTATTTTCATCACAGCCCTTTGCAGTAGGGAATGTAGTATGTGGAGAGCTAGTGACCATGTCATGCTTGAACAAACCAAGGAATACTGAAGGAGGCCCTTGGCATCAGCTCCTCATTGCTCCGCTGATCTTCCTTCCAGTAATACCCCTTTTCTGCATTGCAGACTCTGCAGGACTCTGGCAGTTTGCATTTGCAATAGTCTCTTCCAATACTCTCTGGTTCTCATGGCTCCTCCTGCAATTCCCAAAGTTCTGAATACTCATGTAACTATTGGAAACTAAGTGTTGACATGGTGCTGGCAAGTCTGGATTTTCAGATTTCCCTCCTCTGAAAGAAAACCCATTTTGCATTATGTATCATCTAGTCTGGCTCCAAGTGGATTTGCCTGTAATTGTGTTTACCCTTAACTTTCAAGGACACATCAGTTCTAGAGATTGGGTCAAAGAGCTATTGTGACTCTCCCCTTTGCACCTTGAGGACTGCTCTGATGAATGTATTCCTGTATTCAAAAGATGTTGCAAGGGAACTTTCCTAACATTCTTCCAGTTTCTGACCCCTCATCTCCCAAATGTGTCTTATATGTAGGGGTTAAGATAAAGGGATATACAGTGGTACCTCAGTTCACGAACTTAATTCGTTCCACGATTCTGGTTGTGAACCGAATTGGTCGTGAACTGAGTCAAATTTCCCCATAAGGTTCAGTGTAAATAAGGTTACTCCGTTCTGAACCATATGTAATTTTTTTAACCACAAAAATATGAAACAAAGACAGTACAGTATGAAGAGAGAAAACACTAACCTTCCTTGAGGTGACTTCTGACGTGGAGGACAGGAAGGTGGGTATGGAGGAGGTTATTGTCTGGAGGGGGAGTCTGCGACCCCGCTCTCGACTATAGGAAGTGGCGGCCACATGTCAGAGTGGGGAAGATGGCCATATTTGTGTTCATGCGAATGCAGACATGGCAATCTTCCCCGCACTGTGACCACATGTCAGGGCGTATTTGAGCGGGGAAGATGGCCGCGTTCATGTTCGTGTGGGGAAGATGGCCACGATAGTGTTTGTCATCCAATGTGGAGTTCACAAAGAGAAGTAAAATTTTGCCGAACTTTCTGTTCACGAACCGAATTGTTCATGAACAGAAGCGTTCATGAACCGAGGTGTTACTGTATTAAGGGGTTTCTTGTTTTGGTTTTCTTTTGGTTTTGTTTTTTAAGCTATAGGTTCATGACTGTGAACCCTACCAACTGCTTCTAATTCAACTGCTTCTAATTCAAAGTGAGAAGGATGGTCAGGCTGCAATTGTTCAGCTGTTAGTTAGGGCATGAGGAATGGATAACAAAACAATAGGAGTGGCACAGTTTTGACTTGCAGAATTATTTGAATTACTGGGAAGTTAATATGCTGGCCCTATCAACCCAGAACATTTATAACTATGTTGGAAACATGCTCTCTGATTATGTGAAATGAAGTTGTGTTATGCTGTGCTGCATTTGCTTTTGTCTATAGCCTAACTCATACTGGAGAATAATATAGATCAAGCCCCTGAGATTTAGGTTACACCCCAGCTGCTGTTGGAATATGACAGAACAGAACCCAAAAAAAAAGGTGCAAACGGAAGGTTAGTCTGTTCCCTGAGTTGTTAAAGCACTTAGTTGGCACAAAAGCAAAGGTCACTCAGGATGCATCCGGAGTCTTGGGTACAAACCGTGGTTACAAGGGCGGGGGAATATTGCTCAGTTTAGTTGGAGCCCAATTAACTTTCCCTTTAGCCTAGGCTTCTTGTGCATAAAAGGACTAGCACGCTCAGTATCTTTTCTAGTAGTAGTACTTCCAGTCTGTTACAAGCCTGGGCTGATTTGCTGTTGTTTTATATTTCTGGCTCTTAGCTAAGGGGAAAGTTTGTTTATGACTTGAGTTTGCCAATCCATTTATTTTCTGTAGTCAGCCTGTTTTATACAGCCCCTTTTGTTAACACCTTCATGGGTGGGTCTGACAGAAGCAAATTTTGCAGTGTGAGGAGGGGTAGAAGAAAAAGACTGATTTGGGAGACTGTCAGAGGTGACTTCCACGGCACTGGGGAACTGGACTGATGCTGCCTGGAGGCATGAAAGTTTGCTTCCCATGAACTGAGACTGTAAATGAGCAGTTCATTATAACAAGCACCGTATACCTCCAGTACTCTCTCTTACAAGAACTTACAAGATACTGACCCAGTAAAAAGCTGCTCTGGAACTTTGCAAAGTTGAGGATTGTGTGAAAAAAGTGTTGACTTTCTTCATCAGGTTTCTTCTCTCAAGAAGAAGGCAATTTGGATATGACAATGCAGGTATGATGTGTTTAGGAGAGCAAACCCTAAAACCTGTAAGAGAATTCTCTAGGGAAATTACCATGAGATTAAATGGCTTGCAGAATGTTATAGTTTGTTTATGTTTGCAGAAAAACAAAACATGCCGCCAAAATGTTCCCATTAGGCTATCAAGCTCATTATCTCCCAACCTAATCTCCTTCACCGAGTTGTTAGGACAAAAATGGGGAGATCTTCCCTGCTAGACTGCTGTCCCAAAGGGGTTCAAGGAAGGGTGGGCTTTAAATGGAGGAGTAAATCCTCATGACGCTACCATCTTCTCCTTCTAAAATTGCAAACAGATTTCCTAGTTGCGTACCTGTTTTTATAAGGGATTTTCTCCCTGTTTTTCCAAGAAAGCAGCCTCCCTGTTAGTCATGATGCATGAATGTGAGCCAAGCTGGAAGAAAGGCAAAAATCAACTCATAAAAATAGGCAATTCCTTCCTGTAATTTATAATTCTTCAAGTCATCTGAGGAAAAAATAGAAATGGAAATGATTTCCAAATGGGTAAATGGCAATACCCCAATGAAAAGGCTGCATGGGGCCATTTGAATGTAAAGCTGGATCTAAAACATGCTAATCTATGCATTGTTTGCTTAAGAAATAGAACACTCCTTACAGTTCTGTTCTACCTATTTATTCTGTTATGCTTCTCTTCACACAGGTCAAGTTTGCTCTTTTTAGGTTTTTAAAGGGCTTTTAGAAAACAGCAAGGATCTGAGGCTGACAATGCTAATCAGGGAATGAGGACTTTGATCCAGGGAAGCCCAGTGGAGATTCAAGTCGAAACTGAGCCGTCTCCAAAATACAGCAATGCAGAATTCCAAAAAGACAAAAATGTGAATTGCCATTGGATAAAAGGCTGGATTCAGATTTTCCACTGCTGGTAAGAACATTTGGATCATGTGCTTTAGGTTTGGTATTTCCATTTGGAATAAACACTCAAATAAAAAGCAATGCCATCTGCTGACTTTATGGACTATCAGCTCTTGATGCACGGTTTAGTCATAGCTTCAGATGCAATGCCAGCAAGTACCAAATAGGTAGCAGATTGTACACAGTTTATATCATAACACCTATTATAGGCAGTAGCTGTACTACAGAAACTTAGAACAATATTTCTAAGTTAGAGAACAGCCTTATTCAACCTGGGGTGCTCCAGATCTGTTGTTGTTGTTGTTTTTAGTCACAAAGTCATGTCCGACCCATTGTGACCCCATGGACAACATTCCTCCAGGCCTTCCTGTCCTCCACCATCCCCCGGAGTCCACTTAAGCTCACACCAACTGCTTCAGTGACTCCATCTAGCCACCTCATTCTCTGCCTGCCTCTTCTTCTTTTGCCATCTATTGTTCCCAGCATTAGGCTCTTTTCCAGTGAGTCCTTCCTTCTCATTAGGTGGCCAAAGTATTTGAGTTTCATCTTCAGTATATGGCCTTCTAAAGAACAGTCAGAGTTGATCTCCTCTAGGACTGACCAGTTTGATCACCATGCAGTCCAAGGGATTCGCAGGAGTCTTCTCCAGCACCACAATTCAAAGGTCTCAATTCTTTGGCGCTCAGCCTTCCTTATGGTCCAACTTTCACAACCATACATTGCAACTGGGAAAACCATAGCCTTGACTGTACACACTTTTGTTGGCAGGGTGATGTCTCTGCTTTTTAGTATGCTGTCTAGATTTGCCATAGCTTTCCTCCCAAGGAGCAGACATCTTTTAATTTCTTGGCTGCAATCCTCATCTGCGGTGATCTCGGAGCCTAGGGAAATAAAATCTGTCACTACCTCCATTTCTACCCCATCCATTTGCCAGGAAGTGAGAGGACCGGATGCCATGATCTTAGTTTTCTTAATGTTGAATTTCAAGCCAACTTTTGCGCTCTCCTCCTTCACCTGCATCAAGAGACTCTTTAGTTCCTCTTTACTTTCTGCCATGAGAGTGGTATCATCTGCATATTTGAGGTTGATAGCTCTCCCAACAATCTTAATTCCAACTTGTGATTCATCTAGCCCCGCCTTTCTCATGATGTGCCCCGCATATAAGTTGAATAGGCAGGGTGACAGCCTTGCCGAACTCCTTTCTCAGTTTTGAACCAATTAATGGTTCCATGCCCAGTTCTCATTGTTGCTTCTTGATCTGCATATAGGCTTTAGCATAGTCAATGAAGCAGAAGTAGATGTTTTTCTGGAACTCCCTAGATTTTCCATGATCCAGCCTATGTTGGCAATTTGATCTCTAGTTGCTCTGCCTCTTCAAAATCTCACCTGTACTTCTGGTAGTTCTCGGTCCACGTACTGCTGGAGCCTAGCTTGTAGGATTTTGAGCATAACTTCGTTAGCATGTGAAATGAGTGCAGTAGTTTGAACATTCTTTGTCATTGCCCTTCTTTGGAATTGGAATGTAAACTGACCTTTTCCAATCCTGTGGCCACTGCTGAGTTTTCCAAATTTGCTGGCATATTGAGTGTAGCACTTTTATTGCATCTCTTTTAGGATTTTGAATAGCTCAGCTGGAATACTGTCGCCTCCACTAGCTTTGTTGTTGCTCAGACTTCCTAAGGCCCATTTGACTTCACATTCCAGGATGTCTGGCTCGAGGTCAGTGACCACCCCATTGTGGTTATCAGGGACATTAAGCTCTTTCTTGTATAGTTCTTCTGTGTAATCTTGCCACCTCTTCCTAATCTCTTCTGCCTCTGTTAGGTCTCGGCCATTTTGGTAGTTTATCATGCCCATCTTTGCATGAAACATTCCCTTCATATCTCCAATTTTCTTGAAGAGATCTCTGGTCCTCCCTATTCTATTGTTTTCTTCTATTTCTTTGCACTGTTCATTTAAGAAGCATTCTTATCTCTTCTAGCTACTCTCTGGAATTCTGCATTCAATTGGGTGTATCTTTCTCTTTCTTCCTTGCCTTTCACTTCCCTTCTTTCCTCAGCTATCTGTAAAGCTTCCTCAGACAGCCATTTTGCTTTCTTGCATTTCTTTTTCTTTGGGATGGCTTTAGTTGCTACCTCTTGTACAACATTGCAAACCTCCGTCCATAGTTCTTCAGGCACTCTGTCTATCAGATCTAATTCCTTAAATCTACTTGTCACCTCTACTGTATATTCATCAGGGACATGATTTAGGTCATACCTGAGTGGCCTAGTGCTTTTCCCTACTTTCTTCAATTGAAGCCTAAATTTTGCAACAAGAAGCTCATGATCTGAGCCACAGTCAGCTCCTGGTCTTGTTTTTACTGACTGTATAGAGCTTCTCCATCTTTGGCTGCAGAGCACATAGTCAATCTGTTTTCTGTGTTGACCATCTGGTGATGTCCATGTGTAGAGTTGTCTCTTGGGTTGTTGGAAAAGAGTGTTTGCTATGACCATCGTATTCTCTTGACAAAATTCTACCAGCCTGTGCCCTGCTTCATTTTGTACTCCAATGCCAAACTTGCCTGTTATTCCAGTCATCTTTTGGCTTCCTGCTTTAGCATTCCAATCCCCCATGATGATATCATTTTTTGGTGTAAATTCTAGAAGGTGTTGTAGGCCTTCATAGAACTGGTCAACCTCAGCCTCTTCAGCACCAGTGTTTGGGGCATAGACTTGGACTACTGTGATGTTGAATGGTTTTCCTTGGATTCGAACTGAGATCATTCTGTCATTTTGGAGATTGTATGCCAGTACTGCTTTTCCTACTCTTTTATTGACTATGAAGGCTACGCCATTTCTTCTGAGGGATTCTTGCCCACAGTAGTATACCTGATAGTCATCTGAATTAAATTCACCCATTTCTGTCCATTTTAGTTCACTGATTCCTAAGATGTCGATGTTCAGTCTTGTCTTCTCTTGTTTGACCACATCCAGCTAGCCTTGATTCATGGATCTTACATTCCAGGTTCCTATGGAGTATAGATCTTTGCAGCATCGGACTCTCCTTTCACCACCAGATACATCTGCAACTGAGTGTCCTTTTGGTTTTGACCCAGTTGCTTCACTCTTTCTGGCGCTACTAGTACTAGCCCTCTGCTCTTCCCTAGTAGCATATTGGACCTGAGGGGCTCATCTTCCAGTGTCAGATCTTTTTGCCTTGGTACTGTCCATGGAGTTTTCATGGCAAAGATACTGGAGTGGGTTGCCATTTCCTTCTCCTGTGGATCACGTTTTGTCAGAGCTCTCTGCTATGATCTGTCCGTCTTGGGTGGCCCTGCACGGCATAGCTCATAGCTTCATTGAGTTATGCAAGCCCCTTTGCCATTACAAGGCAGTGATCCCTGAAGTGGCCACCAGATCTACTGGACTACAGATCCCATTACCTTCATTGCTCATACTGTGCTTTCACCCTTTTTGCTAAGGTCACTCTCACCTTGTGCTTCTCTAACTTCTGACATTAAATCAATACACCCTTCCATAACTTCTGTCAGGACTTCCAAACCAATTTTGCTGTCTTCTGATAGCCCTCCCAAAAATGTTTTCAACTTTTGAAACCCAGTGGGGCTTAATTTGAATTCTGAATCATGGTGCATAGGCCTGGGCCATGATATTGCAGCCCTACACACCCTACCTTGGCGTAAGTCCAACTGAACTCAATAGGAGTTACTTCTCTAGGGTCACCATGCATAAACTTGCTTGGTTAGCCACTCTGTTCCACTACCTCTTATTCTAGGGCAAGCAGGCCATGCAAATTCACACATACTATTCACATTTAACAGCAACCACGTGTGTATTTTGCCATTTAAATGCAAATAGTTTTTATAGCTAAGTTTCACATCTAAAGTGTGAATCATTTTTCATTTAACAGCTTTCAAATGGAATGAATGATCTGAAAGTTAGCAAAATCACAGGAAATCCTGTATAACAAGTTAGTCTGGAAGTTCCCTTTTACATTTCTTTTGTCTCAAAAATTCAGAGAAATTTCCCTCCTCCCAGAGGTTCCCTTTTTAATGGCCAGATAAAGAACTACATATTGTATCAGAACCAAAACCCAAGTCTCTTAAGGAGTATGAATTTTATTTATTTATTTATATTTTATTTGGGTATTTTTACCCCATCTAATACATTGCGGGTCTCTGGATGGCTTACAAGTCAAAATCCAATAAATACATATATATACCCAAATAATACAAAACAATCCATGACTGAGCATAAAACATAGTTAAAATATTAAACATTAAAAGTATGGAAGAATAAAAAGGTCCAGACCTGGCGCCAGAAAGTATATAACGTCGGTGCCAGGTGGACCTCTCTGGGGAGCACATTCCATAGCTGGGTCACCACCACAGATAAAGCCCTTCTCCTAACCTCCTTCAAGGAAAGAGTTCCCGGAGCAGGACCTCTGCTGCAGATCATATACGGAAAAAGACGTTCCTTCAGGTATTCTGGTCCCAAACCGTTTAGGGCTTTAAAGGTCATCACCAGCACCTTAAATTGGGTCAGGGCTTCAATTGGAAACCAGTGAAGCTGATAGAGGACCGGTGTTATGGAAGAATAACAACCAGCCCCCAACAGAAACCTGGCGGCTCTGTTCTTAAATTTTATTTAATCATGTGTTTAGTTATGACATTTATATAAGCCACTCAATAACATTCCCACAAAATATTAGAATATAATAATCAACACAATTATCAAAATTAAGATTGCTTTAAAAACCACAGCAAAAACAATAGTGGATTATAATTCACAGTGTTTGTATCATAATTTGGAAAGGTTTGGGAGAAGAAAAAGGCTTTCATCTGGTACCAAGATGCCCATCAGGAAGAGAGGTGCTCCAGAACTAGTCTTTTCCTTGACAGCCACCTTGCTGGGAAACACCTGGAGCAAGCCACAGAACCAGATCACAGGGTCTGGATAGATATGTGTGAGAAGATTGTACCTCAGGGCACAGATGACTCCTACCACCCAT